AACATCAGACAGACAGACAGACAGACAGACAGACAGACAGACAGACAGACAGACAGACAGACAGACAGACAGACAGACAGACAGACAGACAGACAGAGTGGTGTAGTCTAAATTTTGGTAGTGGGTATACTGTGCTTAGAAACCAAAGTACACTGGGTAGTATAATGTAATCGTCAATTTATTTTGATTTTTAAGAATATTGAACATTTCCAAATTTCTCTGATGCTTATATTTGAATAAATGTACAACAAACTTTGTACAGCAGTTGGCTTTGCATTAAAAACATGTTATAGAATTTATAAAACAATATCAAAGCAAAACATGTTCAAGTATTAAGTAGTAAGTACAGAAGTATTCATTAATTCCCTGGGTAAGCGAATGTATAAACAAGCGCTGCATATAGAAAGATTGTTACAGAAACGTTTAACTGCCGTTTCACGGATCAATGACACGTGCCTAATGATATGTCATGTATCAATGGGCACTTTTAAGTGGGTATACTAAAATTCTTAAGCTTTTCTAGTGGGTATACTCCGTATTCTCGAGTTTCGCATAGACTACACCACTGGATAGATAGATATCATGCAAGGATATCTATCTATATTTGTCTTATTGCAAAGTGAATATGTCATTGAAATAATAAGACAACCTTTTAGAGGGATTTATGAGAATAAACGGCAAATTCGCTCAAACCTGCCTTGTAATTTGTGTTCTATAGCTAAGGGCCCCATGAAAAGTTAAAATGCCAATTCAATAAATTAAACTGAAACTATAATTTTTTTCCCAAAAAGACCATTCATATTCATAAATACCACCTGCACCCATGGCAACGAGTCTATTTTAGGCCACTCTTATAAAAAATCGATACCCCAACTGTTAAGATAAGTGCTTTTGCAGCCCCATTGTGATATGTTTTAATATTAAATGTCCCACTGTGATTTCCTCCATTTGTTTTGTTGATCTATAGGCTCCTAAAAAATTCTTGGACATGAGTTTCATCACACTGCCCTGGCAGCATATTAATGGCTCCTGTTAGCGAATGACACAGTTTGTCCGCTCCGGTGTTGTTTATGCGTTTCGTTGCCCTCTGCTCATGTAAGTGTTAGAGAAAGCCAGCTGGACAGTGAATGAGAAGAAAGGACAGAAATTTTAAGGCTTTTTAGATTGCTGAGTCCAAACATTAACCGGAAAAAGACTGATGGAAAAATAAATTCATGAAATGGATTTACAGTATATCTGACTGCTGTGCATTTGATACTTAAAAAAAATACTAATTAGGCCTGTCACGATAAACAATAAATCACTTATGATAAATGAAAATTATCAACCTTATTTTCATTTATCAGCTTTATTGTTTCTTCATCTCTCTCTCTTTCACTGGATTGACAAAAGGCTCAACTCCGGTGCTCTTCACTGACCCCTCCCTTTCTCTTTTCTCTTTAAAATACATTGTAACCGTCCAAAATCACGTTTTTGTATCATTAAAAGCAGCTGAGAAGCTAAGCTATGAGCTAAGCTAACAGGCCGACCTCAGGAAAAAAACCTCAGTTTTGTCAAAGCTCCAAAATTCATGATTGAAACCCGTGTCTTCATGTGAAAAGTTGTTTTTCTTTGCAAAACGAAGCTGAGAACTTGTTTACTGAGTTTGTTATTAAAAGCTTTGTGTGAAAAATGCTATGCTAAAGAGCTCAAACTGCACTGAGTGTCCGCCATTTTGACAACCGAAAAAAGGAAAGAGAGACAGCCCATGTCACGTCAAGGGGCCTCCCTCCCATTTTTCCTTAAAGAGACACGTTGCTCACTCCCTCACTAACCATCCTTTGGTTCAAACAGTCTTATATTGTCATCCTGTGGTCAAAAAATGTACTACATGCAAAATAAATTAACCAACATTTCTTCTTAAATTTGACAATAATTACTAATTATTGACAAATTTCAAACAATATGATCATTTATGGCAATAATTTCTGAGTCAATTAATCGCCCAGCAAAATTTGCTATCATGACAGGCCTAATCCTAACTACTTTGTGTTTTTGTATAAAAGAAGCGAAAATGTATTAACTGCATTTTAAAGTTCTCATCTGTCACATATGTTGTTTTCCAGATGTTTGAATGATCAACAAAACTAACAACGGGACACTGATTGATGCTGAAGAAGGAATATCTTCAACGGTCGTCATGTTCTACTTTAAACCTCCGTCACACCTGAGCTGAGTGACCTCATTACTTTCGGAAACATGATCACACCCTGACCAACACCTGGACAGAATGTGACTGGATCTAGACGTCTTTGTCTCACCTAACATGATGGAATCTGGTCTGTCACCTTTCACAGACGTCCCCATCAACACCAACTACAGCAACAAGAGTTGGAGTAGCCTCTCGAGGCATAATCACACCCGGACCCTTCGTAACCCCTTCCAATACGCCCTTCTGGGGGTGTCGCTGGGGCTCCTTTCGCTTCTCACCATCATAATGAACCTGCTTGTCCTCTACGCCGTGAAGAAGGAAAAGAGTCTCCACACCGTAGGGAATCTGTACATCGTCAGTCTCTCTGTGGCTGATCTGATCGTGGGGGCCACAGTCATGCCGCTGAACTTGATGTATCTGTTGGAGGATGAGTGGAAGCTGGGACGGGCTGTGTGCCAGTTCTGGTTGATTATGGACTATGTGGCGAGCACAGCTTCCATCTTCAGCTTATTCATCCTGTGTTTGGATCGGTATCGCTCGGTCAGACAACCGCTCAAATACCTGAAATATCGAACACGAGGAAAAGCTAGTGTTATGATCTCCGGAGCCTGGCTCCTGTCACTGATGTGGATCATTCCTATTTTGGGGTGGAGGTCTTTCACCCATGTAGACCTTAAACCTGAAGAGGAGAACAAGTGTGACACAGACTTTCGTTTTGTCACGTGGTTCAAAGTCATCACCGCAGTTTTCAACTTCTACGTGCCCTCGATTTTGATGCTGTGGTTTTACACGCACATCTACTTGGCTGTAAGGCAGCACCTACGAGACAGAGAGAGAATAATTCACCCAGCAGATTCATTTGGGGAAAATGAAAATGGAGGAAATGCTCAAAGTCCGAAGAACAGCCACTCCAAATCACCTAATAGGGAAAATGACTCCTCGATGAAAACATCAAAAAAGGAACGACTGCTGGACCAGAATACTCTTGACCAGACATACTCCCTTGAAGATGCTGATAAAAGCAAAGCTGCTCCATTTAGAGCTCACAGGAAAATAGGTGTAAAGTGCCAGCAGACGTCACTGCTTACCATGACAACAAAACGGCTAAGAATGGCACGCAAAGCAAAAACATGCTCTCTGTCTCCTGAAGAGCGGCAGGCAGACGCTGAGCCTCCCCTGAGCCAACCGTCAGCGCCACAGGATACGGCATGCTCAGGTGGAAACAGCGAGGGCAAACTTCAAGCTTCTTTAAATGAATGTCACGTCACTGTGACAAACTCTGTGAGCAGAGTGTGTGGTGGCAGCCAGGTGTCAGACGTTCAGAGATACACATCTGTTCTCTACAACAGCTATGACCCAAGTCAAGCTCTGCCGTGGCCCGAGGAAGGCGCTGAAGATGCTGAAATAGACCCAGATAACGCAGTGACTCTGAAACAAGCATGGCACCGATTTATTGACCAATCACGGCACAGGCTTCAGAGTCTGCGCATTCATAAGGAGCACAAAGCAGCCAAGCAGTTAGGTTTTATAATTGCTGCTTTCTTACTGTGTTGGATACCTTACTTCATTGTGTTTATGGTGATGGCGTTCTGCCCAGAGTGCGTACATCACGATCTTCACATGTTCACCATTTGGCTCGGTTACATCAACTCCACTCTGAACCCCTTTATATATCCGCTCTGCAACGGCAACTTCAAACGTGTCTTCAGGAATATTCTTAAGGTTAATTGGTGATGGATTTTTGACAAACGGAACAAAACTTCGAACAAACAACATGTCTAAATGTTACGGCAACTCACAGATAAGCTTAGATTTTTTTTTCTCGAAGTGTAGATACATTTCAAATGTGTATTTTAAATGAAAATATAATTTCTAGTGCAATATGGTCCAAGTTTTATTTTTTAAATGCAGAGTTTGATGAAACGAGTAAAAATGATGTCTGAACCTATTATTTAATTTGTCTGTTATTTTAACATGTTTGAGCCAAAGGCATTTAAGCTTAAATAGTGTGAATGTTTTAAAGCAGGGTTTTGTGAAAATGAGCAATTAATATCTTACCTGCTGTAGATATCTCTTTGAATTAAATGATGTTCAGTTCTTACAGGACTGATGCTAATGCCCTTTTTGATTACAACCAAGACAAAAGCAGATTACTGACATCATAAAACACCTCAGATCTCTATAATATATTGGAAGTTCATGCTATTTTTTTTTTTGTTTAAACTTCTATATTGGCACCTGTTGTCCACTACATGGCTATTCTGGCAGAAATGTGAAATTCCTCCTGAAATTACCCCACTCTCCTATTAGGAGCTACAAGTAGCTGCTGCTGCTCTTTGCACTCACATATAACATTATAATTCTATTTACATATACAGTAGTCCTTCACTACTTTTGCAGACTCGCTCTTTCGCGGTTTTTCAAAGTAAGATTGGACATGACACACAATTGGCTGATTGATGGACAAGCCACACACGATTGGCATGGATTTTTTTTAATTTTCAAATACATTTTTTAAAATTATTTAGCACCTGCTGCACGAGTGTGCAGCCCACATGTGCAGGGAGAAGCTCCCTCCTGCAGCGTGTTGATCTCCGCTCTGCAGAGGAGAAGTGGGCATGGCCAAGAGAGCTGGCAGAGAGCGAAGATCATGACATGCTGTTATCTTTTAGAGCGTGTGGTGGCGCAGAGGTTAGAGAAGGTGAGCCTGTGATCGGAAGATCGCCGGTTCAAGCCCCGGTACCGACAACATCAAAAATGTGGGTGGGGTAGGTGAAGCACCCACACCAGCCTGCACCCTCACTTGTCCTACTCTGGGCCCTTGAGCAAGGCCCTCACCCCCCTCCTGCTCTCCCTAGATAGCAGCTCTCTTCTCCACACAGAGGGCTGTGGTAGCGTCAGGAAGGCATCTGGCATAAAATCAAATGCCAAATCTTTATCCAAGTTAGTTTGCTGCGGTGACCCCTGGACGGGAGCAGCCGAAAGAAGAAGATAAAATGTATACATTGGTCCTGTTCCTGCTGATTTTGCTGTTGGAGACTTTGTTTCTCCAAACTAAGGTTTAAAGAGCTACCTACACCAGGTAAGATATTAATTAATTGTTCTTTTCAACAAAATCCCACTTCACATGTCACTGATGCTCACTGTCAATAAAATCCTTTATATAAAATGGGAAAAACTTTGAATAATGTGTGCTTTATTATTTGTTGATATTTTTGGTAAGAAATTATGGCTTCTTTAAACTGGTCATTGAACATTTAACACATGATGTTGACAGCAAACTATAGATTGCTGAAAGAGTTTAAGGGAAATCATTTTTATTAATTTTTTTGCACTACAAGTAAAAAATGTGAAATGTGTTTTGACAATGTTGAAACAAAGTTGGAAAAAATATATATAGCAAGTGCTTAAGAGATTTTCCGTGATTTGCCTTATTAACACACTGTTTGAGAAGTTAATTGCTTTTTAACAGTATCAAGACACTGGAATGTGCTTAGTGTGCACGTTTAAATCACAGTTTGACCTAATCGTGTCCTGCGGTGTGCTTCTCATCACATGTGCACATCTTTGATTATGCGGGAAAAGTCATTACATTTAAACTATTTTATATTTGACACTTTTATTCATGCACATTTTTAAATCAACAAAACATGATTATGATTTTATTTTCACACGGTAAAACGGTGTGTTTTACAATCCTCGTGTCAATTTAAAGAAAACAGTTATGATTTTGTTAACCTGAAGCTAATTTTATTTATTTATTTACAATTTACTTTGTTTACATTTGACATGTAGCATCTGCTCTTGGATTTTTAGCTTGAATGTAGCAAATTAAATTTTGCAATGCTGTGAAAAAACATCATAAATATGAGATGTTTTTAAAAAAATAATAATTTTATAGACATACTGCATCCTACAAACTTTGCCTTGTGGCAAAAAAAGATGAAGCTAAGCAAAATGAAATATAAAATGTTTCTAGTAAAAATAGCAAAGCATGTTTTCAAATGTGCACCAATTCCCACCCCCCCCATTTAAGAAGTAAAATGCTGTTGTCCTGTTATTGTTTGTGCAGACCATCTTTTCTCTGCACACAAATGTAATGGTTTGCCTTAATTACAGAAAATGCTTGCTAATTACAATAATTATATTTTCAATACTCAGTTAAATCCAACATATTTGAAGGGCTGAAACTGAGTCATACGTATTGATCCCGTTTGAAATCAATCTTTTTTTTTTTAAATAAGAAGAAATACCAATAGTTTCAACCATTCTTTAAATGCTCTTGCTTTACTAAAATTTGTCGTTAAAAAAAACCCATCAAATATATATTTTACTGTAAGTATTTCACCTGAAATTAAGTCCTCGAATGTTCTTGTATTAATGTTTTAGATACTTTTCTTTGGACTTTTACTCAGAGTATTATTTCTGGAAACAGGAAAAAAGGACTGTAATGATTAACGAGCAGTCTTTTATTAATACCGCTTATCATTGACCCATTACGGACGTGTGAAAGGATCATCACAACCTGATATAGAAACTCTGACAAACCCAGTCTGACACAACGTTCATGGATGTTCAGAACATTTTTTGTGTGACTTTGTTGCTTTTAAGACTTGTTCTGTATCTATTTATGTTCATATCTGGTGGGTTTGTGTAGTCGTGTGGTGCGATGGTTCCTCAGCACGCTTCAGTAATCCTCCAAGGCTCCCTAGAACTACAAGAACACACGTTTTCCTGATCTTTAGAGAAGCGAGTGCATACTATTTATAATTTATTAAACTCGGTTACCAGTTTACAAGACAAAAATGTTTCATGCTAATGCTGAGGTACTCTTATAGAATACTTAGCTGTTGTTTAAACTAATTTTCAAATAGTTTATTAAAACATTTAATTGCAAAAAACAGACAGCATCTTAGTTAGCCTTAAAATTCAATGCAGTTTATTTACTTAGCAACAATTCACACACAAAAAAGTTACTGTACAAAAGGAAATAAACGTCCAAATTATAAATACAACACAGATTTAAATCCTATTACAGTCAATTTAGTTCCTATATAACAGATTATCATTAATTCAGTACATGATTATTAGTAAAAATTATCTAACGAAGCCAACAGTTTGCAAATTAAACAAATTTGAAGATCTGTCAATGGGAAGCTTTCATCTAAATCAGCCATGTTGCAAAAAGTCTAGTCTTAAGCATGTAGGTTTTTAAAACTTTTATATGATTAATACACAGGATTCCTTTCATTTTTACTCTAAGGTGAGCTTAATGGCCCGAACAATAAGGTTACTATTAATAAACAGCAATGTCTAATTTTGATAAGACTCTGCTGATAGTTGCATTTCAGCTATAAAATTCTCTAACAAAACTGCACGACTGACAAAGTAGATATGTAAATAAATAAATAAATAACCCAGAAACATATTGACCTGCTGTGAGGCTGTAGAGTTTTAGGGGTTTTGTTCCCCACGTTGCCTGATATGTGGGAAATCTAATCTGGGAATCCTTCTTTAAACTGTTAATCCGGCTCTTTGTCTTAAACCTCCATTCAGACTGTGAAGTTGATCCCCTCGTACTGTTTGATCTGAACATAAGAAAAAGAAATAGTTCTGAGATTGGAAAAGGATGTGGAAAAAGCTGTGGAGCCCAAACGTGCAACACAATAAACATGCACATACTGTGTGTGAAACTTCTAAAGGAGAGACTCTCACACTTTAATAAAACTACAGCACGTAGATATTGAGCTCTCAAAAATTTAAAAGCAAAACAAAACAAAAACAAAATCAATATCATGCTGCTAAATGCTGACATTTAAACGCCACAGACACAAAGCACAAGGCGACAGACTGTGTGATATTGTTATAATTGAATTGTTTTGTGGCTGTTTGTGGAAATGCTAAACCATGATGCTCTTTGACCCTTTACACCTCGTCAAAGAAATAAAAAAACTACTTTTTTTAAACTAAGTTTTGTGGAATATGACATTATTAGTTTGGTTTTGTAATGTTTACTTGTAATGACACTTATCATTCACATTTTCATGGGGTTTTATGAAATGGACTGACTGAAAAAAGGAGAGGTATAAAAGACTAGTTTCATGCTTTCACTCCATAGTGAATTTGCCCAACTGGCGGTCATCATCACTATAATAATTTATTTTTAGTAAGCATACATGACAAAAATGTATTATATTTTCATCATTTGTACATTCCTATTGATTTAATAAAAAGGCTCAATAAAATCAGTATTTCATAGTTCAAAGTTTTGATACAAAAATGTGAAAAATGTCAAATGTTTGACATTGCTTTAGTGTTTCAGCTCTCCCTGATAAAATCGGCAACATGGTGGACTCAGTAAAACTTCATAATAAATTAAATACATTCGGCTTAGTTCAGGACTGAGGCTGCACTGATCACATTTACAGGGATCTTGCTGATTAAAAAAAAAATATATATAATGTATGTGCAGAACTTCTTACAAAAGAAATTCCATCGTTATCGTTCAAACAAGTAATTCCTTAGTGGGAAGACCAATTGTCCTTGAGCAAGATCCTTAACCCCCACTATCTGCTCCCCCAGGCACCCTAAAAGCAGAGCTGTGGTAACTCAGTGGTCAGGAAGAGCATCCAGCATGGAAAAAAACAAAACAAAAACAATTGCCAAGTCTTGCCAGTTGCAGCACTTCCCTGCTGCGACCCCTGAGAAAGATATATATATAATTTCAATGATCACTTTGAAGTTTATATCCAGAATATGGTACAAAACTAGGGTTTTCTTTAATTTATATATGATAGCTAGAGTTCGTAGGTAATATATATATATTGTCCAGATGACCTGACTGAGAATTATTGGGTTAGGAGTACTTCACTGATCTTGGGGCCCAACAAAATGGCTCTTTCTTCACTTGTTTAAACTTGGATTTATTCATTCATTCAACCTTTATTTATATTTCTACAGGCTAATCTCATTGAGCCACAAGGATTCATTTAAAAGAGGGACCTGTTCCAGACAGATGGATCTTGAAATGTCCAAGATTAATAACATTTAAAGACCTCAGCTGGACTGTGAAGGTGTAAGTCTGGAGAGCTGATGCAAAGAAGCCAATATACTGCAGTATTCGTACCTGTATATTTTGAGCAACTAAATAACTTTTTTTACGTATAGCATTATTGAGACGGTGCCTTCGCTAAGTAGGTTACAGTGTTTATAGATTTCTGACTTTCCGGGTATGATACAGGAAGAGGAAAAAAAATACTTGTTCGCCCTGTCCTGTATTTCCAGAGTAGTAGAGGAGAGGACCTGTTTCACCACTATTGCATTACGTGAGATTTCACCTGCTAAAAACCGATGTTGTTGAGGTAATCTGGTTTACACCAGCAGGATATCTTTGTTGGATTCGTCTGTCCGTTCAAAATGAAAAGAAACGGAACGTATAGGTTTTTGTCAGTTTTCTCCTGCTTCGTCGTTTGCGCATTTTTGCTTCTGTTTTGGCTCTTCGTGTTTTACTCGATGGTTCATGCACCGTAAAGTTTACGAGAAGCCACGGCAGCTAACCTAAGCTAAACATTTACCCACAATGCACTGCTCTATTGACAAGCGCCGCGATCACATGACCAACTAAACCAGGAAGTCACTGCTCGGGGTAAGCGCACAAAGCCTTTAACTGTTTCACAAATAAAATGTGGGTGTTTTGTGGGGAAATGTTACCAGAAATATTCTGTCTGTAGAGTCGCTGTGTGTCTTTTTGGGGGTTTGTCTTTTCTGAGACATTTTGTTTTTTGAGATTTTAAACGTTTTAATGGTTAAAATTAGTGCTGCTTTCATTGTCATTACAGCATGGACAAACTTGTTCCTGAAAAAGTAAATAAATAAAAAAAAGATTGAAACAAGCATTCACTTGTTGTTAAAACATCTTACAAAGACAATGTTTGTGCTGCAAGAAACTTAGTCATTTTTTGCCATTTAGTGACAGTTTTACTGGTCAAATATCAACCAAACTAATTTGGGTGAGCAGCAAAATTTATTATACAACAATTTCCTTTGGAGCTTATTGTTGTTTAAAAAAATCAAGTTCATTAGGTTTTCTTGTCAAGAATTTTCCTGTTTGTAAGACTTGTTGGTTAGTATTTTACCTTGTTTTATGTGACACCTTGATTTGATTATTTTTACACTATTTTTTTATTTTATTTGTTTTTTATTGTTGTATATTGTTGCCTGTACTGTATATGTTGTCTGTCTAAAACAGGTCTTTCTTGAAAATGAATCCTCGTGATTCAATGAGACTATCTGTGTAAATAAAGGTAGAATGTTACAGATTTCCAAATAAACCTTGACTTTATTTACAAATTATTGAATTAAACAGGCAATAGCAGAATAAATGTCACATTAATTTCTGCTTTAATTCTCAGGCAAGTGAATTTAGTTCAAGGTAAAGGTTCTTTATTGTCATTCGCATCGCATGTGGTGGAACGAAATTGTGTACTACACAGGGTCCCAGTTACATCCAACAAAAGTGTAAATTTTAAAAGAAAAACAGTAATAAGATCTAAGATATGAACTAAGAAAAACACTAACCTAAGAATACACTAAATAGTGCAATAACAATACGCCGGACAACAGCAGCACGAACAAGAGTCTGTGTGAGCAGATGAGTACGAATGAATACAGCAGCATAGTTGTAACATTATGATCACCAGAACACCAGTAAGCTCAGAATCATGTCTGGGAAGGCTATTGTAAAACTCACTAGGCTTAACTTGTGAACTGTTGAGACTCAATAAGGAGAAAACAATATTAGAATAGGGAAATAAGAGTTATGTAATGTTCATGCTGCCTTGTTATCGCTGCTTGAAAGATGGACTTGTGCTGTACTGGTAAATGTATGAACAGAATAAACTTAGTTGATAACACTGTTTACAAAGTGTTTTTTCCTTTACAAGTTTGAATTGAAAAGCGAGCAAGAAATGCAATTTATACATTGGTCCTGAAAAAAGGGAGACGTGTTGAATGTGTTAGTGTTACAGTCCTGTGAGCTGTCACAGACGGGTTCATGTTACAGGAAAGGTTTCTGGGAAGTGAAGTAACAAGTGTGTTGTTTAAGAGCATAGTTTGATCCATGCTTGCTTTTTTGTGTTCTTTTGTGTGAGAAGACACTAGATAAATTAATTTGGTTTGTGGGGTGGATCTTTACAAATTTGTCTTGTTTCCTAAAGTTTAAATTTAACTGATATATGAGGAGTTTATTTTAAACAGTTTATAATAAGTATTTTTGTGACACACATGGCTGTACATCTGAGAGAAAACGGTGACTGTAGGGGAGCACTGTTGCATTGTTCTTCAAAAATATATTTTTTGTATGTAGTACCATATAAGTTACATTAAATGCTTTTAGTGCAGGTTCTAAGTGCATCAACTTGGTCTCATACACTGATGAGTAAACAAGCTGCTGTCTGGTCAATCCACCTTTAGGTGTGAATAACAGTATTTCACACTAGTGAAATAGTATTGTATAATTTAATAAACAGTATTGTATAAATTAGTATAAGACGCACAAAACACATATATCTCAAGGCACTGTCTGCAGTGGAAAGTCCACCAAAGCATCCATGCTGAAAAACTAAATCATGCATGTAGTGGAATAACTATGTATATATGTTTTGTTTGAATATAAATTGAGTTTAGGCAGCACGGTGGCGCAGTTGGTAGAGCTGCTGCCTCTCAGCGAGCAGGTCACCCTGGTTCAAATCCCGGTCCGAGCCTTTCTGGGTGGAGTTTGCATGTTCTTTCCATGCATAGGCTTTTTGCAGGTACTCCGGTTTCCTCCCACAGACCAAAAACATGCATGTTAGTCTGATTGGTAACTCGGTAAGTTGCCCTTAGGTGTGAGTGAGAGAGTGAATGGTTGTCTCATTTGTCTCTGTGTCCCTGTGATGGACTGGAGACCTGTCCAGAGTGTAACCTGCTTGTCGCACAGTGACTGCTGGACATGGGCACCAGTGACCCCCCACGACACAAAAAGGAAGAAGCTGGTAAAGATAATGGATGGATGGATGGATGGATGGATAAATTGAGTTTGTTATTGTGGCAAACATTTAGAATGTGAAATTATACAAAGAACGTGTAAAAGCACAGCAAAGTAAAATATTTTAGGATTTTGAATAATTACTTCTTTTGTGAAACTCATCACAAATAAATACTTAAAGTCAAAATTACCCAAATAAATTATCAATACATTTTCTTGTTCAAAATACAACAATTCTGAACCCTAAACATTTTAAATCAGGTTTTTTTTACTCTGTGAAAATGTCTGGGAGAGAATCATAATTATCCAAATGTTTCTGACTTTATCAACTGTATTAATTGTCATTTCAACATTTGCACAATGCCCTTCTTGGCAATCATCAGGAATTTGAAGTACACTATATCATTAATTTAAAAACTGACAGACTGATAGTGATCACTGTTATCAAGTGTGTTTTATCAAAGAAAACCATCAGAGGTCATAAACTCAGGAGCTAAAAGAAATTATGACATGATTTGCTCAGGATCATACTCAAATGTATGGTTTGTGTCCACACACATAAAACAGTGCCTTTGCAGAAAAATAATTTCCATACTGTTCATGATGGACATGCTTTAATTAAAGCTCTACCAACCATATTAAACGCAAGTTTGACTGAGTGAATGAAAAGCACACTTGTAAAGAGCTCTGCCTTCTAAGGTCTACACTATACAGGTAATTCCTTTGTAAGTTTGTTTGTGTAAAGCCTGTTAGTTACAAATTATAGTTGTGAATGTTTCTTCACTGTTCTGTGTTATAACAGAATATTAAGCGTTATTCCAACATACTGCTGCTTCATTTCAGTTTGTAGAGTTTAATTCGTGAAGTTGTGATGGCGTCTGACATCAGTGAAGCGTCATCATCCGCCGCAGATCTCAAGCTGCAGTTTGCCCCCTTCAGCAGCGCTCTGGAGGCAGGATTCTGGCACCAGCTCACTCAGAAGAAGCTCAATGAGTACAGACTGGATGAGAGCCCCAAGTGTATCAAAGGATACTATTACAACGGTGAGTAGTGTGCCCAGATGGTGTCATTATACTTAACAAGTGCTAAGTGCAGTTTCTGCACTTGAGTTGATAAATATAGACTTTGCTTACTGAAACGATTCAAATGATGTGGCTACATTTCTATTTGACAGGTGATCCAGTTGGTTTGCCAACTCGTCTGACGTTGGAGTTCAGTGCGTTTGATGTGTAAGTATGATGACATTTACACAACAATCCTTCTAAGGTGTAGTGCTTATGATTGATAAGTTAAATGCACAATATAATATAAATCCATTAGTATGTAGAACATAAATTAGAGCCCAGCTGATACGGACATTTTAGCTATCGCCGATACTGATATTGGGGGGGAAGACTCATGCCGATAAAACATATACTGGCTGAAAATTTTTAAGCTTTGTCCACCCCCAAGGATCTAAGTAAACAGCTACTTTTAAACCTGTTTTAACACTTGAAGTCTTGAAACAGTCTTCCTAACGTGCCTTCACATTTTCTATCCTCTTTTCACCATAAAAGTATCAAGTGTGTTACAAAAATACAAATTAAACTAAGAAACGCCCGTTCTTGTTCGTTGTCTACCAGTCAGTCACGTACGGTGAAGGCCTAATTAGTATTTCCCGCAGCAACCATTTTTTTTCTTTGCAGAGAAGTAAAGATTTCAGACAAACGATACATTTCATTGAGGATGACAAAGATAACGTTACTAACACTGATATATTTTACTTCTACGTTAGATTTATGGTTCTGACTAAAGTTTTACAAGACAATAGCCTATGCTAGGTTATCTAAATGTTAGCTTGCTAACTTGAGAGGCACGCACAGTAGCTTATGACAAGCAAGTTGGAGGATTGAAGATAATTTATTGTTAATTTAAAAAAAATTTACGGCTCAGTTACAATAAACTTACCATGCTCTGTTCAGCAAAATATGCTACACCGTATTTAGTTGTTCCCTGCTTTGGCTGTGCTGCGAGTCGTGTGCAGCATTGCCATGACTTGAAAGTAGTGTGCATGGACCTTCTGCTGGATGTGCAATTGTGCCTTGCGCAAGTAAGGACACGGCTCATTCCCAGCATTTTAGGGTTGAAAATAATAAGTGTCTATATCGGCGCATATTGAGACAATTATCACAGATACCGATATGTCCCCAAACGCCTATAATGACCTAAAATATCGGCCCTACTGATATATCGGTCGGGCTCTATAACATACTGTAAATTCCAATTTTACTGCTCTTTGACCAGTATAGCTCCAAACATTCAGTAATATTAATGGCAAAAGATGGCACATGGAAACATTTCTGGTGGAAACACTGATGGTTTTTAATAAGCACAAACAAACAAAAACAAACTTAATACGACCAGTTCTTTACATTGTACATTAAATGTTTTTTGTTTTTTTAGAACTCTGGCATAAGATCATTTTGAATCCTGAAATAAATTACTTTTGTTCATTTGACTAGTATAACAATTAAATATTTGAATATTGATGAATGATGATGTTGATGAAAAAATTAATATTTTTTGTTTAAAAATTATTGTAACTGATAAACCATCCATCCATTATCTTTTACCCGCTTCTTCCATTATGGGTCACATGGGTCGCCGGTGCCCATGTCCAGCAATTACTGGGCGAATGGCAGGGTACACCCTGGACGAGTCTCCAGTTCATCACAGGGACACATGGAGACAAACAACCGTTCACTCTCTCACTCACACCTAGAGACAATTTAGAGTTACCAATCAGCCTAACATGCATGTTTTTGGTCTGTGGAAGGAACCGCTGCAGCGAGCTAACGGGGAAATCACGGGGGGGCGGAGTGTGCATTTACGTGAGTAAAAGTTGGTCCACGAACTGTACTGTTGTAAATAGCTCGTGCTCGAAGGCTTTGGAGCAAATAACAGTGAAATGTCGGCCACATTATCTACCCCGAGAGTTCACAGTGACTTTTATCACAGTTGTTTACATTCCTCCGGACGCTAATGCTAATGAATCACTACAGGAGCTTCATGATATCATCAGCTCGCTGCAGAACAAACACCCCGAGGCTCTTTACGTTGTAGCCGGAGACTTTAACCACGTGAATCTAAAGGACTGTCTCCCAAGCTTTAATCAACATGTGACGATTCCGACACGTGGAGACCGCACGCTGGACCGTGTTTACACGAACGTAAAAAATGCATACAAAGCCGAACCCCGCCCCCACCTAGGACTGTCAGACCACATCTCAATCTTCCTGGCTCCTGCTTACATGCCCCCGCTGAGACGCTCCAGACCGGTTCAAAAGAAAGTTAAATGTTGGATCCAGGACAGTGGCCCCATACTGAGAGATTGTTTTGATCGAACAGACTGGCAGGTTTTCAGAGAAGCTGCTGAAAATGGAGGTTCGCTTGATCTTGACCAATACACATCCTCAGTACTGGGTTACATTAGTACATGTACTGACACAGTCTCCACTATCAGAAATGTTAAAAGCTACCCAAACAGAAAACCTTGGCTGAATGCAGAGGTGCGTTCCCTGCTGGAAGCCAGGAACACTGCCTTCAGGTCTGGAAACTCAGAGGAGCTGAGTAGGACAAGAAAAGAGCTGGTTGCTGGTATTAAGAGGGCCAAGGCCACATATGCAAAGAGGATCGAGGGTCAATTCATCTCACAAGACCCTCGGAGCATGTGGAGGGGCATTAAGTGCATAACAGATTATAAAGGAAGGAGTGAGCAATGCCCCAAAGACCCATCTCTGCCTGATGCCCTCAACAAGTTCTATGCACGCTTTGAAGACCCGAACAGACCACCCAGCACCAGACTCACCTCGCCACCGGATGAAGAGCATCTCAGCGTGACCTCAGCAGAAGTAAGGACTACCTTCAGGAGGATTAATCCGCACAAGGCAACTGGCCCAGACAACATCCCCGGAAAAGTGTTGAAGGAATGTGCTGATCAGCTCTGTGAGGTGCTGGCAGACATCTTTAACACCTCACTTACGCTGGAGACAGTTCCCACCTGCCTGAAGACTGCCACCATCATCCCAGTCCCAAAAAGCTCTACAGTGACTGGTCTGAATGACTATCGGCCAGTGGCCCTCACCCCGATAGTCGCTAAATGCTTCGAAAAACTGGTCATGACTCACATCAAAACAACCATCAACATCAACGAGGACCCTCATCAGTATGCATACCGTGAGAACCGATCAACAGAGGATGCAATCTCCTCTGTGGTCCACACTGCACTCAACCACCTGGAGCAGAAAAACTCTTACGTCCGTATGCTCTTTGTGGACTTCACATCCGCCTTCAACACCATGATCCCCCAAACCCTGATGGACAAACTATCCACACTAGGACTAAGCCCCTCCATCTGCAACTGGGTACTAGACTTTTTAACAAACAGACCACAGTTAGTGAGGATCCACAACCTCTCCTCCTCCACCATAACCCTCAGCACTGGATCTCCTCAGGGATGTGTGTTGAGCCCCCTTCTGTTTACTCTGCTCACATATGATTGTGCAGCTACCCATCCAGGCTGTCACATTGTAAAGTTTGCAGATGATACAGCGGTGGTGGGATGCATCACAAACAATGATGAGTCCAGCTACAGGCAAGAGGTGGAACACCTGGAGAGCTGGTGCAGAGAGAATAACCTTCACATCAATGTGAAGAAGACAAAGGAGATGATTGTGGACTTCAGAAGGAACAAACACACCTACACCCCCCTGAACATAAGAGGATCTGCGGTGGAAGTGGTCTCCAGCTACAAGTACTTGGGTGTACACATGAATGACAACCTCAGCTGGAGCAACAACACCACCAGCCTGATCAAGAAAGCTCATCAGAGACTCTACTTCCTCAGACGGCTGAGGCGAGCTGGTCTGGGAAGCTCAGTCCTCACCTCCTTCTACAGGTGTGCAGTGGAGAGCATCCTGTGCTCCAGCATCAATGTGTGGCATGGAGGCTGCACAGCTGCAGAAAGAAAAGCTTTGCAGAGAGTGGTGAAGGCTGCACAGAAATCTGTTGGAATCAGTCTCCCCACCATCACAGACATCTACACCTCTAGATGCAGGAAGAGGGCCACCTGCATCATGAAGGACCCCACCCACCCAGCACACTCACTTTTTGCCCCACTCCCCTCAGGAAGGAGGTTAAGGAGCATTAAGTGTAGAACCACTAGACTGAGGAACAGCTTCTACCCTGAGGCTGTTAGACTCATGAATCTCTAACTAGAATAATCACTGTGAAAAACCATATCATGTTGCTGCTGATCTGTTTCATGTTGCTGCTGATCTGTTTCAATGTTGATGTGTTCATGCGTGCACATCTGCTCACAGACTCATGTTCATGTTTGTGCTGATGTTCAATGTTTTATGTTATGAGTGCTTAGTGTATATTTAGTTGATGTTTTTCTTAGTTCATATCTTAGATGTCATTACTGTTTTTCTTATACATTTTATTGTTGGATGTAACTGGGACCCTGCGTACATAATTTCGCTCCACCACATGTACCACATGAGGTGCGAATGACAATAAAGAAACTCTGACTCTGACTCTCTGACTCTGAAACCGGAGTACCCGGAGAAAACCCACGCATGCACGGAGAGAACATGCAAACTCCACCCAGAAAGGCCCCTGGACCGGGGTTTGAACCAGGAACCTGCTCGCTGAGAGGCAGCAGCTCTACCAGTTGCGCCACCGAGCTGCCTAACTGATAAACCAATAAATAAAATTTAAAAGTTAGGATAGATACTCGGTCAATAAGCACACATTTACTTGAAGTTGAAGAATTTCTTTTTGCACTACTACTACGATTGTTAACATAGAAAAATTAACAAATACCGATAAATATGTTTTGATATATACACAGAAATGTACTATCCTTAATGTTCAGTGCTGAGATATACAAAAAACTGAATTTTGCAGTAATTAAAAAAAACATCTCAAAGGGTACAAGATTCTGTTCTGTGCACCTCGTTATTTGGCGGCTTTAGCTGAAAAGCCTGGTGTATTTGGTGGAGTACGATTTGAAGGTTTGAATCTGAAAAACTCTTGTGCATTAACACTGTTGGTCACAACACAGAACAGAGTTCAGACCAACATCAGGTGAAGAATATACAACATTCAAATTCTAACAGTTCTATTTATAGTCATGGCACCTTTGATTTGCACATTGATTTTAACTGAAGCATATTAGTAATAGAATGGTTGTTTGTCTCTATTTGTCCCTGTGATGAACTTGGAACCCATCCAGGGTGTACCCCGCCCCTCGCACAGTGATTGCTGGACATGGGCACCGGCGACCCCCGTGACCCAAAATGGAAGAAGCGGGTAAAGATAATGAATGGATATATATAGATAAATTTTCTGGGTATCAAGTAGTAAAACAATATTCCCCTTAAAATAACAGTTTGCATTGTGCAGAAACAACTTGGTCTCAATAAAACCTTGACTCTACATGAAAGTGAAACAAACACATTTCCAGTGCTCACAAATCACCAGCAGAAAATCAGTACAAAGGACAACTTGTTGCATACCTTCTGCTAATTTTCATTATAAGACGGCTGATCATACACCTTTATCTTCTTACTAACTGCAGCTGAAACCCCTTTGTGCTCAATGCCACACATTTTAGGAGGATTTGTGTAACTTGGAGAAACATTGACTCTTTAGTTACTGCAGCAACCACATACGTTTCATGAAATAAAATCACTTGAGACCCTCCGCTGCATTTAAAAGCACTCTTTTTTTATTTAAAAATGACTCAACAACTAATTATCTTCTTCATATAGATACAAAATTGAAAAAAACAGAAACAGGACATGCTTTTCCAAATCAGCAGCTCATGAAATAGAAAAATAATGAGGGTGATCCTTCAGTTTATGTTGAGGCAAACATAAAAACAGTGATGTTGTTTCCATTAGCAACACATACTTGCAGCCTTCAATAGATCTATTTAAGTTTTGTGGGGCTTCAAGATAAACCTTTTGGAAAAGAACTAACAAAAACAAAACAAAAAAAAATCAAATCAATTTTAACTTGTCTCAAATAAAAGTAACCCTGTCAAAGTAATTAACATAACATGAAAACGTGAATAATCAGAATTGCTGCCAACCTCCACTAAATCTGGTCTGTCACTTTAAGGAAGAAATCTCTTCACACTCATTTGCACACAACAGCAAATCGAGTGGTAACGTGAAGATGGAGATGGAGAGCCTGCAGGTGTTGGAGGAAACCAGTGTTTAAATCTCGCACTGGGAGGCTGGAACAAATCAGCTTCCTGAAACAATCACACACACACAGAAACACACCGTCACTTCTTCAGACCATAAGTCCTACTCACTCGAACGCCGTCACAGCGCAGCGGGGTGAAGTGAGTGAAGGCGTATATTAACCATAGGAAGAGCTTAGTGCTAGAAATAGTCCTAATAAAAAGCTTTAATGAATATTAATACCTTTAAATTAAAGCCGTGAGTACACTCTGATTGAAAATATAAACTCTGTGTTAGTTAAATTTGTTTTTCTAATGCCTCGCATGCTTTGAATATTTTAAAACTTGTAGCGCTGACCAGATATTTCTGAGTACAGCTGCGTTTCCTTTGGCTCAACTGTACTCTCAAAGCAGTTTTATGCAAACATTTATTTTTTTCCTGTTAGTGATGGTCCAACCCCCACTCGCTGCTGTCCAGCTGTTGGAACGTTGTATAACACCAACACACTGGATGCCTTCAAGAACACTGATAAGAAGGCTCTGCTGGAGAAGGAGGCCACAGAGGTAAAGGACATCTACCTACAAACACAAATGCATATTCAATGCATATTCAAATAGACTCAAAAGTAAAAAAAAATCAAGTACAAACAATTTAAAAGCATCATAAAATGGTCAACACATTGTGCAATCATATTATTGCGTAGCTGTACTTCATCATCGGCTTTTATCTTCAGATATGGGATGCTGTGCAGTCTGGAGCTGCATTGAAGAACCCTTCTATACTTTGCAGATTTATTCTACTGACCTTTTCAGTATGTATAAATAATGTCATATAAGTGTTCTATTCATATATATATGGCTTTACAAGTGATATTTTTTTCTTTGACATTTTTTACTCATTATTAAACCCATCTAAAAACTCTGCAGGACCTGAAGAAGTACCATTTCTACTACTGGTTCTGCTTCCCTGCACTTTGCTTCCCAGAGGGGATAAAGGTTGTCCAACAGCCCGTGGTCTTGGACCAGGTTTTCTCAGCAAGACAGGTTAGCTTTTAAAATCTTAATATTTAGGAAAATGCCGTTTGTATCTCGTATTCTATGCTTCAAAGTTATTTTGTAGCAAATCATTTCTTTCTCATGAATTGTGATTTCACAAGATGCTGAGGTGTTTTGTAATTATTAAAACACTGAGAAAGTATTTGCAAAGTTCTGAAAGTCGTGTTTAAACGTTTTGGGAAGAAAAAAAAATCTTGCTTTATGTTGTTAATGCACTGTTATCTACTTTAATACCCCATCACAGATCTGTGGTCTGTTGAGAGACAATGGCTGTAGAAAAAATAACATCAGAACGCGGTGTGATCTCCAGCAACCCCAGATTTGCATATTGCAGATTTTTTCATGTGGTCAATGATTATACGGCAGTAAAATATCATATTTATTTCACATACATGTCTTAATAATGCAGTGACCCATCATCAATAACAAACACAATCTAACGCTACACTAAACAAACAGTTCGACTGCAAACAGTGTATCTGTTGATCTGTTGGTGTGCTCATAGACTTACTGTACCTCTGCCTTTATTTTTATTGTTGATTCTTTTTGCAGGGGTGTTGCTGGCGCAATGCTCAATTGTTATGATGTCCTCTGGAATTAATAATAGCTGTTACAGCGACTTATAGTTGGGGTTTTATGGTTAAAAGACAATATAACAAGACATATAGATAGCACGGATCTGGCAGCAGCATTAAGACAACAGAGACTCACACAACTTCCCTCACAATAAGTGCCTTTAGTATATATTGCACACTCAAACACTACATCTGAAGCTTATAAAATAGCTTACCTTACTGCACTGCGGGCCTCTTTTTTATACCCACCTGTGAATGACCAACATTCACCAACAATGATAGTTATGTTAACCTACCATCACATAAGCAACTCTTAAGCTGTTGAATGCTGTACCTTGTATCAACTTAATAAATATGCAACACACATAACGGGAGCACATTGCGACCATTACATGTACGTCACATGCATCACAGGAGTTGACCTTTCTTAACATATGCTACATTTCTTTACGTATGGATGCACATATAGGGCAAGAAGTGAAAGTGTCACAGAGGCTGTACATTGACACATACAGTAAGTTTGTAGGTTGTTTTTAATGACCACCTCTACCAAACGCAGACCACTGGAGATGGACACTTATCTCCCCACAACCCTGCATGCAACAGAGTGTTTACATTTCAATGGAAGGTGTTTAATTGTGTTTATTGAAATTGTAATTGTATTTGCTTAAACTACTATTTTTAGTTTTATTATCTTATTATGGATACTTCCATCCAGATGATGTGTACATTAAGCATGTTTTGTGTATTAGTATTACCATTTAGGAAGAGCTTCGTCTGACTGTTTATTACCAGTTATAAAGTGCATGTGTGGGGTATAGAGCCTTCTGTGCTTCATAAAGTAATTTTTCATTCAAGTTTATTTGAACAAGGACAGCACAATAAACAATGTTACATGATAAAAACGAAGCAACCATTGTTTTGTCCGAAGGTTTTATAGCCACAGGCTAATTTGCAAATCCAGTCCTTGGTTGGACTTTTATATAACAACAGCTAAAAATCACTTCTGTTTCAGATCGCAGCCCTGCGGGAAGCGTATGATGGCCTGTGTGTCAGCAGAGGGACCTCTGCTCTTCCTTACTTCCTCACAAAATACACTGACGACACCGTCCACATGGCTCCACTTGAAGAATGGGAGACATTTTTCTCTGATACTAAAAATGTAAGTTACATGGAGACATTTTTTTTTTATTTCTTACAAATTCCATAATTAACTATGTTTTTGTTGTGATTTTTTTTGTGTTTGTCTTTGTATCAATAAAATTGACAGTTTAATTAAAAAAAAGTGGAATATGTTTTAAATTGTTTGTATTTTTTTTACTGACTGTTTATTAGTTTTATTTTTTTAAAGCATTTGATTAGATTTAATAATTATTAAACTTTAACCAAAACAACAATGTTCAGTCAGGTCATCTGGACGGCTTCTTTTTTTTTTTGTGCTGAGACGTTTCGCCTTCCATCCAGAAGGCTTCATCAGTCTGAGGAAACGTCAAACATAACTGATTCTCTCCCAGCAGCTTACTCCAAAGTTGGAAAAAAAACCCAGTTATGTTGGTGCTAAGATGGCCTCTGGGGCAAGCCCTCTCTTCCGGTGCCCGCCCTCTCCCTCGTCGACAGTTATGTCAAACTGGTTCAAAACACCAAAGTCCATGCTCAATAATCCAGGTATAAAATCCAAAAATGTTCAGTCAGGTCATCTGGATGGTTTCTTTTTTTTTTTTTTGGTGTGTGTGTGCTGAGACGCTTCGCCCTCTATCCAGAAGGCTTCATCAGTCTGAGGAAACACCAAACACAACTGATTCTCCCCCAACAGCTTACTCCAAAGTGGACAAAAAACAGTTAAATGATTGAGCATGGACTTTTGTGTTTTAAACCAGTTTGACATGACTGTTGAAGAGGGAGAGGGCGGGCACCGGAGGGGAGGACGTGCCCCAGAGGCCATCTTAGCACCAACATACTGTAACTGTTTTTTCCACTTTACAGTAAGCTGTTGGGAGAGAATCAGTTGTTTGTTGTTTCCTCAGACTGATGAAGCCTTCTGGATGGAAGGCGAAACGTCTCAGCACAAAAAAAAAAAAAGAAAGAAACCGTCCAGATAACCTGACTGAACATTGTTGGATTTTATATCTGGATTATTGAGCATGGACTTTGGTGTCTTAACCAAAACACTTCAAATGCATTTTTTACTTTGGTTTTATTAATTATCTGTTCAACCACACATGCATGAGACACTTCTGGCAGAATAAACACACCCTTTCTGTTTGTTTTTATCCAGGTTACTGTGGGTGTCTACGATCCATGTACTCTGTCTCAACATCCTGGCTGGCCTCTGAGAAATCTTTTGGTCCTCTTGGCTACGCAGTGGTAAATAAACCCTCTGAGGTTTTTGAGTCCATGCAGGCACAGGATCAGGAAGTCCTTCACTTGTGCTGTAATTTCTTGTTGTGACGCACTGAATTTCACAAGCACACTGGGTTTGATGAATTAATTTGCCTGATTTTCATCTCCATCTTAGTTTAATCATGCGCAGGAAGACGAGAATTATCTGCTTGACAAATTTCCAGACAGTGACACGTTGCTTTGTGTCGTCACAAAAACCAGACTCTGGCTGAACAAGAGCCGTTTGGCTGCTTGTTACTCAGAGATTTCACTTCAATAAAACATCACTTCTCATTTTTCAAGCTGACTGACTCGAACTGTTGCTGAAATGGTGATGGTTCCTATGCACTTTTTTTTTTTAGATAAATAACTTTTACTAAAATATTTACAGAGAAAATATTTCAGCACACCAGTGGGTAGTTGGTGCAAACTTGGTTATATCCCAAGCATGAGCCGTGGGTGGAGCATGTTCAAATATTTACACAAAGGTCCAGAACAGCCTGATGACAGGCAATAAAGGAGTCAGCTGTCTAATTATAATTTTGTGTTCCTTTGATCAGAAACAGGATCTTTTTTACAACAGGATTGCTGCGTTGTAGAACTTTTTGTTAGAATTTCCTGTTGCAAAGGGTTAAAGTTGAGCAGAAAAGACCTAAATAAGAAATTTGCCTGTTTTTGACAAAAGAAAAGGGAATAAAATTGCATCCAGAAGTTTGAAATATAAAAATAAAAGGCTTCAATCGACCCCTTATTTTTTAATTTGATCATCTATCGCAGTAAATAAATTGTATGTAAATTAAACTTAAATTCTTTGAAATCATTCATTTCATTCATCACCTAGCATGCCAAAGTTTTAAATAAAAACTCTCATGTGAAAGTGTATGTTGGGGACGACTCAGCTTTTAACTGACCACGTTAGAACTAGTATTTGTAAATTCAATTGTTGCCATCTTTGTGTTTGCTAAAGGTAATTAGCTGTAGCAGCCCTCTTGAATCAGGTTGGCTTTAAAAGTTAAACAATTAAAGAAATACATCTAATTGTTACTTACTGAGAGTTGCCTTAAAAATCTATCCACTGGTTCATGAGATATTTTGCCAACGAACAGAGAAACAAACGCACAAAGACAAACACATGATCGATCACTCTTTATGCCAGTCAGCGATAATAAAACAGTAAAACTGCTGCTTTTCAGGAAGCTCAACACCACTAGTGTGTATTTATGATCTGCAAGTGAATGGTTGATTGAGATTCATGTGGAAAGTGTAGATAAAAATCAAAGATGCCCTGTCAGTGCAAATTACTTTGATTAGGTCAACCACATTAGGCTGTATTCCATCTAAACACCACCTTTAAGGTGTTAACAAAATAAAAAAGTAACGCGTAATTAAAGATTCCCTCTAGATAACGCACATTCATTCAGTTTCATGTTCAATAATGAAGACGGACTTGTATAGATTTGTTCTGCACCAACATCTACATTTGATCTTATAGCTGCTTGTGCCCAAATATCACTGCTCAGCTTTACATACACACTTTCAAAATGCATATTTATATAAAAAAGTAAATGATATATGTAAGTTTACAAGAATCTAACCCTGTGTTCATGTACATTTTAGTAATAGAAGACTTAAGATAAATAAATGCTAGCACATAGATAAAATTATATATATATAATGTAAAAAAATGAAATAATAATAATAATTAAAGATATATATATATATATATATATATATATATAATGTATATAAATAAAAAAATATATATTTATATATATATTTTATATAACAAAAAATTATGACAACAATGGACAACAGCGACAACAACAAACAGTCACAAAAAGTCATACAGATATATATATATAGATAGATATAGATATAGATATATATAGATATATATAGATATAGATATAGATATATATATATATAGATAGATATATATGTGTGTGTGTGTGTGTGTGTGTGTTTGGAGAGAGACAGAGATAGATAGATATAATGTACTTTTTGTTTGACTACACTATTCCCAGAAAATAAAATCTACAAAATTATTATTGCTCGTATTTTAGGTTATCCATGTGAAAAAGAACATTAGTTCAACATCTAAGCTTTTGTACACATTAGCATTCTTTTAATCTGAGCTTTTTGTTTTATTGGCACCTGATGTAGTGTTTAAAGAAACACTTGTATTGTTTAAAGCTGAACTTCTCATCCAGGCTCAGTGAGCAGCAGTCAGGTCATAGTTGTGGCTCATCAGAAGATAGTTTTATGGATTGCTGTGAGAAGCCGATGTTCTGTGATATGAACCTCATCAGTCTTGAGCGTGACTAAAATTTTCCTCAAACAGTTCATCCTGAATGGACTGGATGAATGAAAGTGGAATTTAAAAGTAGCCGTGACGTCTCACTTAGTCGGCTGCTTGTAGTTTCTGTTGTGTGAGTGTGTGTGATCTGAGTTTTGTTTTTTACATCCATATTTGGAGAAATATGACACGTTCACTGTGTTTATTCAGTTACTGGGAGATAGTGAACTTTGTTTTTCTTCACTTTTATTAAGTGACATTTTAATTAAATCACTTTTTTTGTGTGTTTTAAATGGTTTTGATTTTTAATGTGTGTGTTTGTGTGTGTTAGGGGCTCTAAGCTGGACGTGGTGGAGGTGCTGTGCTTCAGGGACAGAACTCTGCAGGGAAGCCGCTCCATCCAGCACAGCCTCATCTTTCGAGTCAAGCTGCCTCAACTTCCCAGCAACTCAGGTGATCTTTGCTTCTTTGTGCCTTACACATGTATGATAATTGTTTTGATTTATCTGTCTTATCACGTCCATCCGTATGTTTTTGTTCTCCTAAATGCACGTCTTTAAACTTGTGTGAATTTATCTGTACCGTCACTGACATGAACAGAATTTTAGCTGCCTTTCTGTTGAGAATATGAGCTTCCATTAATTTCGCAAAGCTTCTCTGTTTTTCTTTTGTCAATTGTAGAAAAGAAAACAATTTAAATGCTAATAGGAGCATAAGATAGAAGGCCGCTCTGTGTCTGCAAAGCCTTTTATTTAGGTTAGGTTGAGAAGATTTTTATTGTCTTCCCTGTCAGAAAATCATGGCTTTTAATTAAGTCACGGTGAATGTATTCATGCAATAAAACGAAATCAGCTTTCCTGCTTATGTAGATATATTTATTATTTTGAAGAGGATCAACCAGTCTTCTTTGGCCTGACTTTTCATATTTTCACTGGTTAAACTCTGAAGAGATTTTAAAGTATTTACATTGTTATTGCACGAGTTTTTGATAAAAACCTAAATAAATGTTTTGTTTGTTAATTATCCCATTTATTTGTTTTGTTTTACAGCGTAAAGCTATATTCATTCACAGAAACCTGATATATGTATCCAATTAAAATTTTGACAGTAAGAAAATTAAAGGGGTGACTTTTCTTAACTTATGAAGTTCAATCACTTCTAATGCATAAGATAAAAATATTTCTCATATTTGGAATTTAAAAGTTATAGCATCTGCGTTACTTGTATATGTCTGTTTTTGTTTAAATAAATGTTTTGTTTTGCTTTTCCTCCCATTTTTATTGTATAAATAAAATTGATAAGATGTAGACTTTGAAGCAACACATTTTAACTGATGTCTTGAAAACTGGTGACATGTCACGTTTTTAGTTGCAAAGTGTACTTATTTTTAATCAACTATATTTTTTAATGTTTTTTTATTATTGTTTTATTTTAGTGTGTCCTAAAAGTGTAGGTTGGGAGAAAAACACAAAGGGAGCCTTGGGTCCCAGGATGGTCAACCTGAGTGAATGCATGGACCCGAAAAGGTAAAATATAAAGTAAAAGTTAAAAAAAGTGACTTCACCTGGTAAAGATCTACTCTTGCAAACGTTCACACTAACTGTTTGGTCATCTCTGTTGTTTGCAGGCTTGCAGAGTCATCCGTTGACCTGAACCTTAAGCTGATGAGATGGAGGCTGGTTCCTTCGTTGGACCTGGACAAAGTTGTCAACACTAAGTGTCTTCTTCTGGGTGCTGGGACCCTTGGCTGTAACGTGGCCAGGACTCTCATGGTAAGGCTGGGTACCGGTAAATGCAGATGCGATTCAATTCCCTTAAACTACAGAAGATCTTTTGGCGTCTTTAATATTTTAAACCAAATCTTTATCTGGTATTTATGTTGATGATTCACATTCTTCATGCTGTAGGTTCTAACACATTACATTAATAGGACGCTCACAAAAAATCCATCCACCCACAGAGAACCTAATGAACCGATGAACCTAACATGCATGTTTTTGAACTGTGGGAGGAAACCAGAGTACACTGAGAAAATGGGGAAAAGCACAGGGAGAACATGCAGAATCCACACAGAATGGCCCAGCCTGCGACTTTCTCACCGTTAACCAGCTGTGCTGCTGTTCAGCATTGCTGCTCTGTATTCACTATAAAAATGTTTTTGAAACACTGAACACTAATTTTCTGCTTTGCATGGAAATCTTCTTTTGTGTTATTTGGGCTCTTTACTTAGAATAAGTACCGTAGTAACTAAATACAGACACGTTTGGACAAAAGGTGCAAAATCCTAAGATAATATGACCAACCAGCCTTTACACAGGACTTGTATAAGATAGTGTTTCTTTATTTTAATTTGAGTGTGTGATGTTTTATATTAATCCTTTGTAGACTTAAGTCTTTGTACAGATCTTTGACTTAACTTGTACAATGTGCAACCTAGTTTATTTCAGAATTTCTGCTTTTAATTTGCTCATTGATTGTAGAATAGAAGATTACAACTATATTTAAATTATCATCTAAATTAAAATTGTTTTTTTTCCCCCTCACAAATTTACTGCTCCCTTTTTCTGATTAAACCTGTTTTTGTTGTCACAGGTGAAATGTAATTTAATGTGTGACTTGATTTTTCTTCACATTGTGTCTTTTTTTTTTGAAGATTATGTAGATTTGTGCTGGGAAACAAAAAAAAATCAAGTGGAGCTGCACCGCTTCATTGTTGCAGCGTACATTTTCTGAAGCTTCTAGCAACGTGCTGCATTGCTCTGTGCTGATGTTGGAAAATGGAGTTCAAGTGCCTCCAAATATTGTGTTTAAAGGAGACTGACATTTGGCTATTGTTCTCCAGGGATGGGGAGTGAGACGCATCACGTTTGTTGACAATGCAAAGATCTCGTACTCCAATCCAGTCCGGCAGCCACTTTATGAGTTTGAGGACTGCCTCGGAGGAGGAAAATCAAAAGCTATGGCAGCCGTTGACCGTCTCACCAAAATCTTCCCTGGTGTGGTAGGTTTAATAATAATGTTTTATATCTGGATAACTATACTAAAGATATTTTCCCAATGGAAGGTCATATATTATTTTTCTTGTAATCGTCTTATAAAAATATATAATTTATTCTTTTCAGTTTAGAAATAAAATGGTTTTATTTAGCATTTAACTGTTCTGCAGGAACTTTCGCAGTTACATAAAACTGACCTGATATGACAGTAATGTATTTCTCTTTGAATGGTCATATCTCAAACATGAGAGCCAAAATGGGAAGAAAATGAGAAATCGTGCTCTCTGCATGTTAATGCTGCGGGTTTCATTACTTTTCTAATTAATGAGCGGGCTCTCTGAGAAAGATATTTTGTTAGATTAGCAAATGAAAAAGCAGGCAATCACTCAAGGCAGGGCTCAGATATGGTATTATTGAGCTAGCTCATTATTAGTCCACTTGGAATTGCATGAATTGAATGAGTATTTACATTTTCAATAGTGTGTGTGTGTGTGTGTGTGTGTGTGTGTGTGTGTGTGTGTGTGTG